AGAACGAATTTACCTTTAGTGGAAAGATTTCCTCAGTATCAACAGAAAGATGATTTTAATGGCATCAATCAAGTTGGACAAAAAATGTCGGAAATGGTCTTCTTAAGAAGGAATTTACCTTGAGTGGAAAGATTTCCTCAGTATTAACAGAAAGATGATTTTAATGGCATCAATCAAGTTGAACAAAAAATACAGACTATCTATTATAAAGGATTACTTTTTTTCGTACATGTTAACCAATAGTCAAGAGCTCAAATGTCGGAAATGCTCTTCTTAAGGTGATTCACTGGTTTTGCTCTGCGCATCTCTTACTGCGCATAACAAGATGGCCATCGTAAAAAAAAGCATCTGAAGTAACATTATTTAAATGAAGTTCACTGAAGAGAAACTCTATTGGAATTTTTGCTTAGGGTTGTTTCTTGCCGAGGTGAGACTGTGTGTGTTGGGAATGTGCATAACGTAAGCATTACGCGTGTTGCTGAGTTCGACTTCCTCACGGAGAACCTCGCTGAGTGGATGTTAACTTGTACTTACTCATTTTGATTTTCATGATTTAAACGCTTTCTTTATCAGATTGTGTCCTAACTGTGATATCTCGATGTAAATTCTGTAAAAACGAATTTTTTATTACTTTCTTTCCCCTTTCACACTCATGCCATTTTCAATCCTCTCCCAAAAATCGAAGAAAATGCTTTTGGTGCGCACTTTCTGCAGCTCTACCGCAAAAACGAGTACGGTGACCCCCATTTTTTATTTCATGATTTTAAATAAGGACAGTGCTTCCTTTCTATGAGAAAAAAATTGGTACAAATGTATGTTCAGTTTTTTTGCCCAGGTTTTTGCCAAAGGGTCCTAAATAGCCGTATTTGTCAGCGTTGTGACGTCAAAAACAGGCACAGTAACCCCCCCTTTTTATTACTTTTTTATTATCTTCCTGACTCGTTACATCAGTGTACCAAGTTTCATCTATAATCTATGTTAGGTTCTTTTACTAAAGAATCACCTTAAGAACGAATTTACCTTTAGTGGAAAGATTTCCTCAGTATTAACAGAAAGATGATTTTAATGGCATCAATCAAGTTGGACAAAATTGAAGAGAAACTCTATTGGAATTTTTGCTTGCGGTTGTTTCTTGCCGAGTTGAGACTGTGTGTGTTGGGAATGTGCATAACGTAAGCAGTACGCGTGTTGCTGAGTTCGACTTCCTCACGGAGAACCTCGCTGAGTGGATGTTAACTGGCAGTTACTCATTTTGATTTTCATGATTTAAACGCTTTCTTTAGCACATTGTGTCCTAACTGTGATATCTCGATGTAAATTCTGTAAAAACGAATTTTTTATTACTTTCTTTCCCCTTTCACACACATGCCATTTTGAATCTCGCCCCAGTCCTCTCCCAAAAATCGAAAAAATGTTTTTGGTGCGCACTTTCTGCAGCTCTACTGCAAAAACGAGTACGGTGACCCCCATTTTTTATTTCATGATTTAATAAGGACAGTTCTTCCTTATGATGAGAAAAAAATTGGCACAAATCTTTGTTCAGTTTTTTGGCAATTTTACTAAATTGTACGGATTGAGCTGTCTCTGGTCGAGGAGCGCGTGTCCAATTTAAATCTACTTTGGAGCGTTATGTAAAAGCAAGGGCATTGAAAGGCATTTTTCTGCAACGTAAGTCGATAAATGATACATTAAAGTCAAATTCTGTGCGTTACCACATGCATCATCGAAAAAATATCTCCTTTTTGTCTTGTTTTGGGCTGCGCGGGGTTTTAACAAAGGGTTCTAATTAGCCGTATTTGTCGGCATTGTGACGTCAAAAAAAAAAAAGCACGGTGACCCTTACTTTTTATTACCTTTTTATAATCTTCTTGACTCGTTACATCAGTGTACCAAGTTTCATCAATAATCTATTTTAGGTTCTTTTACTAAGGAATCACCTTAAGAACGAATTTACCTTTAGTGGAAAGATTTCCTCAGTATCAACAGAAAGATGATTTTAATGGCATCAATCAAGTTGGACAAAAAATGTCGGAAATGGTCTTCTTAAGAAGGAATTTACCTTGAGTGGAAAGATTTCCTCAGTATTAACAGAAAGATGATTTTAATGGCATCAATCAAGTTGAACAAAAAATACAGACTATCTATTATAAAGGATTACTTTTTTTCGTACATGTTAACCAATAGTCAAGAGCTCAAATGTCGGAAATGCTCTTCTTAAGGTGATTCACTGGTTTTGCTCTGCGCATCTCTTACTGCGCATAACAAGATGGCCATCGTAAAAAAAAGCATCTGAAGTAACATTATTTAAATGAAGTTCACTGAAGAGAAACTCTATTGGAATTTTTGCTTAGGGTTGTTTCTTGCCGAGGTGAGACTGTGTGTGTTGGGAATGTGCATAACGTAAGCATTACGCGTGTTGCTGAGTTCGACTTCCTCACGGAGAACCTCGCTGAGTGGATGTTAACTTGTACTTACTCATTTTGATTTTCATGATTTAAACGCTTTCTTTATCAGATTGTGTCCTAACTGTGATATCTCGATGTAAATTCTGTAAAAACGAATTTTTTATTACTTTCTTTCCCCTTTCACACTCATGCCATTTTCAATCCTCTCCCAAAAATCGAAGAAAATGCTTTTGGTGCGCACTTTCTGCAGCTCTACCGCAAAAACGAGTACGGTGACCCCCATTTTTTATTTCATGATTTTAAATAAGGACAGTGCTTCCTTTATATGAGAAAAAAATTGGTACAAATGTATGTTCAGTTTTTTTGCCCAGGTTTTTGCCAAAGGGTCCTAAATAGCCGTATTTGTCAGCGTTGTGACGTCAAAAACAGGCACAGTAACCCCCCCTTTTTATTACTTTTTTATTATCTTCCTGACTCGTTACATCAGTGTACCAAGTTTCATCTATAATCTATGTTAGGTTCTTTTACTAAAGAATCACCTTAAGAACGAATTTACCTTTAGTGGAAAGATTTCCTCAGTATTAACAGAAAGATGATTTTAATGGCATCAATCAAGTTGGACAAAACATGTCGGAAATGGTCTTTTTAAGAAGGAATTTAACTTTAGTGGAAAGATTTTCTCAGTGTTAACAGAAAGATCCCATGATTTTAATGGCATCAATCAAGTTGGACAAAAAATGTCGGAAATGGTCTTCTTAAGAAGGAATTTACCTTTAGTGGAAATATTTCCTCAGTATTAACAGAAAGGTGATTTTAATGGCATCATTCAAGTTGGACAAAAAATACAGGCGGGGAATATTTTTCATTAAAAAGCGTCCTTGATCCCAGCGAGAACGAACCAGCTGGTATATTCAATGTTTTAATTTCGATCTAAATGACTCAAGAAGACATTAGGGATATTTAACAATCACGACGGCAACGAACATCTCCCATTTTTATTTTGCTTGATGGAAGATCTAGCAAATGTTATAAAAAGTAGGTTTTCATAGCTTACTTGCTGGCTCTTTGCTGAAAGAATTACTAACAATTTTTTATTATCTTCCTTGTCAGTGACCCCTTATGTAACTTGATTGATTATTTGTACTTTTAGGTACTATTAATTAAATATTATTGTTAATATTATGGAAATCTTCACTTCATAATTCTAACTAATTTCAAAACTAGTGAGATCAGTCAAGAGGTTTTCTGACAAAACATTTATTTTTAACGATGTGGAATGTATTGTATGTGTAATCTTTATATTATACAGTCAAACAAGTCTTCGGGAAAACGATACTTTGCAACTACTCTTAACGTGTTTCACTGATTCGTTAAAACAAATTCATGCAATTACCGAATTATCGAGTAGAATTTCAATGTGTATCGTAATCATTTGCAAGACAGTGTCAATTCTATACAAATAAAAAAACGCTTAATTAAAGATCTAAGAGCACTTTCTGAGAGAGTATAAAAAGTTGCTTTCACTGAAAATGAAAGGACACTTAACGCTTCAATTTTCACAAAGCTCATTTCAAGCTTCACTTTGATAATAATATACTCGTTAAGGAGTGGGAATTAACGACACTTAGTTAATTTGAAAATTTCGCTATGCTCGATGACTCGAGCATGCAAGGGAAATAAAAAAAGTTCGAGTTATCGAGAGCTCGAAGAAAATATCTGAAAATAACAAAATGGAATGGGAAAGGAATGCAAACAGCATGCCGCTCCCTTAGGAACAGCAAGAAATTTGTTGATATTTCTAGAAAAAAAAAAAAACAAAGAAACAACAACAACAACTTAATACAAGAATACAAGGAATAGAATACAATGTCACTTTGAAACAATTTCAGTGTTTTAGACTGCAGTACCTTAGTTTTTAAATTTTTGTTTTAACTTGTTGCACGCTTAAAACATGATGATCTGAAGGGAAACAAAAATTACTTCGAGTTACCGAGGGTAATTGCAGTACATTTTTAAGAAGGAAATCCAGGGAAAACCGATTTTGGTTCGACTTAGCGCGAGTTTGAGTCATCGGGTCAACTATTATTCCTGTCCAACTCGATTAACTAATTTTAGCTTTAACATGATTGACGTTAACATAATTGATAATTTTAAGCTCAACAAAGCCATTGATATTCGGTGAAGCTTAAAAAACGTCCTGGATTAAACTAACACAAACCGACCTAGAGCTACAAAAAAGGTCTTGGAAAGCTCTTTTCAAGAATTGCTTTGACGTATTTAATATTAGTCTGTTAAGTGGGCCTTAGCAAAAGCCGACGGTTTTAATCTAAAATATTGGTTGTGATTAGTCAGGTCGAATTCAGTAATTTACTAGTGAATTTTACCTTAAGAGGCCATTAAAACCATATTTTTGCTAATGGTGTGGAAATCACCCTATTCACATGGCAAATCCGGTTGTATTGTGTTCGTTATTATGCCAAAAACTGCTGAAAAATAGATAAAAGAGAGTTTTAGACCGCCAATTCAAGATGGTCGCGCAGGCAATACCCAGAAAGAAACTGACTTGTCTTCATCAAGTTGGGCCAAAGAAAAGATATGAATTCAACTGCAGCATCAGACTCGACGAGGACAGTTCCTGCATGTGATCCAGCGATTCTGCAAGGAACGCTTGATCATACAACCCAGGAGGCCTATGGATGGCTTGTCTTCATTACCGTCATCTGCATCGTTACCTGTCCACTTACAACTACAATGAATGCACTAATCATAATCTCTGTAAAGACTAAAAATCAATTGAAAACCAAGTCTAATATTGCACTCGCTTGTTTGTCGACTACTGATCTGGCAATGGGTGTGATTGGCAAACCTCTATATATCTCTGTTGTGATCGCCGAACTGCAAGGAAACACCTCCAGTACGTACTGTATAAGAACGCTGTTAGCGACAATCGTTTTAAGAGTGTTAGGTATAGCATCACTGTCTCACTTAGCCATGGTGAACCTAGAGAGGTACATTGCCATCAAACATGCCCTGCGGTACGAAACCATCGTTACTGAAAAACGCCTCACTTGTTTGTCATCTCTTCTGTGGATTATATTATTGACAATAACTGTCTCTTTATCTTTCTTTGATGAAAACACTTATCTTAAGGTTGACACCACTACTTTGTCTCTTTGCATAACCACTATTATCTTCTGTCAAGTTGTGCTTTACCATGAAACACGTCGGCATCAAAAAGAAATCGCTGCCGGGCAATTCTCCATGGAAACCAGAGAAAAATTCTTAAGGGAGAAAAAAGCTTTTAAACTGACAACAATGATACTTTTCTCCTTGATATTGTGTTATTTACCTTTCGTAGTAGTACGAATACTAATACCAAAGTCTGTTATCAATTCGGTCAACTTAGCATACATAGCCCTATTTACAGGAAGAACAGTGGCAATTTTCAACTCGATGGTCAACCCGATCATTTACTGTGTACGGATTAGACAGTTTCGCGTTGCGTTTATTCAACTTTTGTTTAGAAAAAGCAGCACGGAAGCTTAAAACATCGAGAAACGAGGTTTTGGAAAATTAAACAAGGGGTCCCTTGAATGGCAAAACAGCGAGCAAACTTACCAGGGAATAATTAGATGTTGAATTTAACTCATGCATTGCCTTCTAAAATTGACGCGAAGCTGACTCAGGCGAAGATACAAACAAATGATAGATTTGCGGTGTTCAGTAGAATTCAATTGTACAGATATAGTTGATCGCCACTGGTTGTAAATAATTGCATGCTCACGATAGCGATCTTCGATAAACATGTATCAAAACAAACATCGTGTATTATATAAATCATTATGAAAACGATTCACTGTTAAATTACTCTCATAATTAATATAGTTTACTCAGAGTAGTCGGGGCATCTTTTTCAAATTTTTAATTGTAATCAGCGTTAATTAACAACGGCTATAATTACAAGAAACCGCTGGCAGATCCAAGATGGTGGATAGTTATAGCTACTTTTTTATTGGTAAGTCAGACGCGAGAATGGCATACTTCCCAAGTTTAGAGGTTTTAAATGTGTAAGCCAAGTTTATTTTATTATTAACACCTATAATTTTTGGCTTTACGGCTGCTGTAAAAAAATGATGAGATTTGAGTACCGCTAATAAACTCGTCAAGATGATGTTTTAATGACCCCTCATTATTGTGCATCCAATTGTGTGAATTATACCTAGATGCTGGACATGATTATTACATTATGTAGTGCAATTTTGGCGGCCGCATCATGAATGGTTTTTAAGTCACAAGAGAAGGGGAGGGCGTGGCTACGAACCCGGTCTGAATAGGACTAAAGAATAATAACCCTACAACCCGACCTCTCACAAGGCTACTACTATCCGGACTCTGACGAGACGAGCGCAACTAGTTTGCGACTCACCTGACAGCTTACAAGATGAGACTGAGTATCTTAACGTTTTTAGTAAGAACTATTACAACACGGACTTTGTTAGACGGAACAGTCGCAGTAACACTGATTCCAACACTCAGACCAACTCTGGCCGCCGCCTGTTACGACAGCGACTATATACCGTACATCTGAAACTATTGCACCTCTGAAACTATTGCACGTATATTATATTACAACCTTGCAATATACGTGTTGCACACAAACCGATAACCACTTTACGGCGACTGCTTACTAATGTCAAGGACAAAGACAAACCGGAGGACAGACAGGGAGAAGTATACAAGATCAAATGCTGTGACTGCCAGGCTTCTTACATTGGTGAAACCGGCAGAAACCTAAGCACGCGACTGACCGAACACGAACGAGCGACGAGGAATGGTGACGTCAACAATCACATTGCTGAGCACCGTTTACAGACGAAACATCAAATTGACTGGGACTCTGCGACATGTAAAACGTATTCGACAGACTACTATCAACGTCTTACGTTAGAAAGCTGGTTTACTAAGTTAAACTTAGAACAAACGCCGCTGAATCGTAGCCAACAGTTACCGGCGCCGTACAAACGACTTATTGACGAGATCAAGCAAAACTAACTACGAGAGAATGACAATTTGACTAACAATAGACGACTGTTTAACTGTGACAACAGACGGATCGAAACGCACCAATTACTGATTACGAGTCTTCATAGCCAATAATATCACGGCTTAAGGTGGCTCGACTGGATTTTTTGGGGTTGATACCTCCCAAGTTTGAGCATTAACTACGTCGGCATGAGTAAAGATATGGAAAAAAGGTTACCACAACTGTATTATATGAAGATGAAAATTTCTTATGATCTGGGTTTTATTGCAATCGGAGTCGCCATGGCAACGTAATGACGCCATTACGTTTTTCATTTATCTTTGTGTTTCTCTGTACCAGGAGTTTTTTGGAGAAATCGCTTAAGGGAGTATGTACCTGCCATAATCGCCTCCATTATGGCAAAGTTTGAAGAAATTCTATGAGAGCGTTTTCGAGATATTTTGAAATGCAGCTTTAAGAATCATCAACGCAGTGAAATAGCATGCTAGCCGCACAATTCGCTAATATTTTAAGAAAATGATAAGCTTTGGGAACGCGGCTGCATCTCATAGTGGATTGATTCCATTGAAAACTGCATGCAAAAAAAGAGGGGAATTGCTCTGGGCGATCGCGAGTAAGAAGA